CTCCGACGGACCTGCAGGACACAGAGAACCGGACAGTCACGCGCGCCCCCCATTCTTTGTGTACGGTTGAATAAAGCCATTGCCTATCAGGACCGCCCTTGCCTTCTTCTACCTATTAGTCGGGTTCGAAATACCGTGTTATAACTACTGGCGACGCCGAACTAACTGGGCTATAACAATTTCAAAACTCTGCTTCCTCATGTTGACATTAATTATTCCCAGGGGATGCTTTCTGCTAGCTTGGGATGCTTTTTTTCAAGTCGAATCTTTCCGAACTTCTTTAGTTTTAATGATCAAGGTGTAGATGACAAAAGGTCAATAAGAGGCTTCGCCCTGTCCTCTCTTGCTTTCCAGATAAATTTAATTCGATCAAACTGGCGATGGCGTCCACAACAAAACTAAGCGCCCAACAGCCGGGGGACAACGAGTTCGAGGCAAAGCGCCGGGAAGTGGTGGCTCAGGCCCAGAGCCTTCCTACAAACGACCAGGCTGCCGAGACTGGACACAAATTCCGCCCTGGAGGCTCAAAGTAAGTGATCTGATTCGAATCGTAAATTTGTCCCTTGTGTTCTCCTTTCACAGCAAATCAGGTCTGCCCTTCTGATGGAGCAAAGTAAGCCGAAGGCTGTCGTTCCAGTGTCGCTTACCTCTGTTATCCGATATGACTCTCAAACTACCCTTGCTTATTCCGTTGCACTGTTTAAGCTACTGCTGAATTCTGAGATATTGCAGTCAGTGCCCGAGCTCATGCAATTTTAGCACAAAACTTGACATTTATTTGAGATTAGGAATGGTTACTTGAGTGGAATTGTTGCATTGGTGCATAATCCCAAGACATGTTAGTCTGCCGCGATGGCGGATTTTTAATGAATGTCTTTCTGATTTGATGAAAAATCTCTTGTCGATGAAACTTGACCGCCTATGTAGTGTGCATCTCTTCTTTAGATTTCAGATGGCCTTGCAAATACATTTTATAGGAAACGTGAGCGAAAAATTCTTTCTTTTGCTCATTTGATAGCAAATCATATCCATTTCAAGTGGAATACTGTAGGGAAGGATATGTTTAACTTTTTAAAAAAATCCAATTCTTGAATAATTTGCCGTTGCATTTACGTTGAGTGTTCTTTATTTACGGGCCAAATACCCTCCGTGGAAGGTATATTCCTATATGCCATTAAAGTGATTACATATAGTTTTGTATGCATACCATTTTGCAGTGGATGTGAACTATGCTGTATACTCCATGAGAGGTATTGGCAAAGAAACAGATACGATCTTTTTTCGAGTGAATCTTTGAAGAAGACGTGATTTACTACCAAAGGAGCACAAGAAAGAATATTTTTAATGCTTCCTATAAAATATGTTTGAGTTTGGAAAGGCATCAAAAATCTATAGAAGATATCACACACATTCTAAGGTGCGGCACGACGTCATCGGTTCAGCTCGCAATTTTTCTTTAAACATAATTTGTTGTGGATTGTGTTGTCATTGCTGCTAAAACATGTTCGTCGTTTGTTTTATTGTTCGATCCGTCAGCTTTAGTGTCGAGTTAATAGCGGTATCCTTGAAGATTTTTAGTTATCCTACCCTATTTTCTCTCCTTTCTCCCTCGCCTGCTTCCCCTTCGCATCTTCCTCCTCTTCCTCTTATTACTTCATTCGTCTTGTTTCTGTTCCTCATCTCCTTCCACCTACTCCTCCTCTTCGGTCTGTCTCTCTATCGTTTCTGCTACCGCACTGCCCCCTTCCTCTTTTTCCTCCCTCGCCGCCTCCCCCTCTGCTTTCTCCTCTTAATGTTTCATTCATCTTGCTTCTGTTCACTGTCCGCTTCCATCTACTACTGTTTTTCCATCTGTCTCTCGTTTCTGCCAAAAGTACTAATGACTTTCGCAAACGTTACGAAACAATGGATCATAATGGCCACCACGCCTACGTCTCTCGCTCTTGTTCGGTGTAATAAGTATGATGACATAAAACGCCTGTTGTTTCCAGACGCGCTTCTGCCCTGTAGCTCTGGTCTGCCCTCCGCCATGGCGTGAATGGTTGACCCTTCTCGGTATTTGATTCCCGTCTTCTGACTGCAGTCAACCTTTACTTTGCATCCACAGAAGCCTTCCGTCTTGGCGATAGGGCTGCAACTTATGTCCTCATTGTCGAAATCCGGTGTTTGATCTTACGTCTTCCTGGCCCGTGCTTTAACTAACTACGCGCACGTAACACAAATCTTGTTC